TGCCCGCGGGTCCGGCCCGCGCCTCCCGCCGCTCCGCCCGCCCCTTTGCCGCCGACTCTGACCCCCTCACTCATTTCCCTCCTTTCCCTCCTGCCGGGGCCACCCGGCGTGCTCCCGCCCCTCTGCGACCGCACTTTCTGTGCTTCTCTTCTGACCCGGTCCTGTGCGCTCTTTAGGGCAGTTAACGATTAATTTTCAACTAAAAAAAAAAAAAAAGATTCGTTGACAATAAGAGGTGCCCACAGAAGCTTTATTGCTGTCTGGCTGGTAGGAATTCCCTCTGGTTTCCATGGAGTTCAAGTTGAGATATTGAAACATCAGGCTGGCGCCCTAGTTCAGTGTTGTGTGTGTGTGTGTGTGTGTGTGGGGGGGGGTGTTCTCCTGAAAAGGGCGTCTAATTTTACACAGTTTTCTTTAAAAAGTTTAATATTTAAAAAATCGGGCAGCCTCCCGAGCCAGAGTAGGCTCAGAGAAACTCCTTACGGTTTTCATTATTAGCCACGGTTAGTTAAGTCTGGACCTGGCATGTATGCGGGCCGCGAATTTTTCCTTTGGAAACCCTCGGCTTATCCTGAAACGTACAGCAAATTAAGGAAAACGAGCGTTACTTCTCCTGCTCGAATCAGTTGCGGGATGGGATGGAGGTATCATTCTTGAAAGATCAGTATTTAAAAAGCAGTATAATGGCTTGGGTGGATTTACACACATCACTGCCAGAGTGGGAAATCAACATGAGATTTAAATGGAAATAAGATTGGTTTTGTCAGCGTTTTGTGAATGCTTAACAGGCTGGGCGTTTGCACTGCCTTGAAACACGGACTCCTCTCTAGGAACTACCTGAAGTGCTCCCTACTAAGGCCAGTGGTGCTTTGATGTAGGAAAGTATCAGGTTGGTAGGAGGAGGAAGCATAGGCCAGCTGTAAGCTGTGGGTTCTCCTCTTTTCTCTTTTTCTCTCTGGCCACATCTAGGAGAATGTTGTTGAACATCATTCTGAGAATTGACGGTCATTCCAAAGTAAAAGGGAGAAGTTTGGGCAGAGGAGCATCACGAAAAAGCTGAATTGTCATGTTTTTACCCTGTGATCGGGGTAATTCCTACCACATCAGGACTCTGTATTCATAAAAGGAGAACTAGTTCCACAGCTAGATTTATCAACCCTCAGTTATCTGTCCTGGTAGAGGCAGTGACAGAAGACATGAATGAGCTCGTGAAAAATGACAGATGGAAGCTAAACTGTTTGTGGCCAATTATATTATTGTGAAGGATTTACAATTATGGAAAATGAATTATATTTCTATTGGATAAAATTGTAAGGAAGCAACGTTTTAATCAAATATTGAATGAAATTAGACTATGATGTTAGCATTTCAGTTTGATAGGGTAATATTCAGTGCTTTGGTCTCAGATACTTTATTTTGTGATAGATTTTTATAAATTGTGTTTTCTTGGCCAGTATATTTTAACAAAATTAATTTATTTAGAAAATAAGTTCCTCAGTTTTGTTTGTTTGTTTCGTGTTGATATCTCACTCTGTCGCCCAGACTGGAGTGCAGCGGCAGGGTCATGATGATCACGGCTCAACATTGCCTAGACCTCCTGGGCTTAGGTGATCCTTCCACCTCTGCATCCCAAGTAGAGTGGACTGTGGGCGCTTGCCATCGCACTGGCTAATTTTTTAATTGTTGGAAGAGGCAATTTCACTACGTTGCTCAAGCTGGTCTCCAACTCCTGGGCTCAAGCAATCTGCCTGTCTCAACCTCCCAAAATGCTAGGATTACAGGTGTGAGTCACCGCACCCAGCTCACTTTTAATAAATATCTTAAGTTTGATGTGTCAGAGTCGAGTCAGCTGAAATGTTGTACTTTTATAGGTCCTCTGAGTACTTATTCTTTATTTTAAATGTGGCATACATCTAAGTTAAAACCAAAGATGTAGCAATCTTTGAAAAAATATGAAGAAACATCATGCAAAAGCTAGATTGTCACATTTTTACCGTATGATTTGATTAAGTTCAAGCAAATTCCTAAGACCTCAGGACCTTTATTTTTTTTTGTTTTTGAGCTGGAGTCTCACTCTGTTGCCCAGGTTGGAGTCAGTGACACACTCATGGACACTCCAGCGCTAACCTGCTGGGTAGTGGTGATCCTTCTACCTCAGCCTTCCAAGTAGCTGGTACTACAGGCGTGTGCCACCATGTCGTCTAATTTTTCTGATTTATTATAGAAACGAGGTCTCGCCAAGTTGCCCAGGCTGGTCTCCAACCCCTGGGCTCAGGCAGTTTTCTTGCCTCGGCCTCCCAAAGTGCTGGGATCACAGACTTGAGCCACTGCACCTGGCAGGACTCTTTATTTTGGATATTATTATTTATGATATCTTTGTGAGATCTCAGAGTTAAATAAACTTTTTGACTATCATGGGATATGAAGTAGGTTAGGTATCCTTAACTTCTTTCTCTGTACAAATCATTTGGCCAAGGTCCAAACAACATTAGTAATTGGACTAGGATTGGAAACTATATATCCTTTAATTGTTGTACAAGAGCCCTTTATATAAAGAAAGATAAGGGCCTAGTCTAGATATTTGACTCAGTGGGCAGTGGGTCTGTGAAGCAAGATAACATCTTTCTCTTTTCATATGACTTGGGTATCACTTCATTCATTCTTTGTTAACACCATACTATCTGAAAGATTAGAACTATTATTTCTCTCTTTCATTTAAAGCATGAAGTGTTGGCTCATACCCAATAGGTTCCATTAGTGAAATCATATAAAAAGTATTGCATGGAATTCCATGACAATAAAATACTTGGATAGTTCATTCCAAGTCCTTGAAGTAAGGACTTTAAAGTGACAGGAGTAACTTTTCAGTGAAATCTCTTATCCATTAATGCAATTCTGTTTGAAGCCATTATTTTAGTAATCAGAAAATGCATGGATCTTAGAGTCACAAACCTGTGTTTGGCTCTGGTTGATGTGAGACCTTGACCAAATTATGTCATTTCTTTGTGCTTTAATTTCCTCACTTGCTGGGCACGGTGGCTCACGCCTATAATACCAGCACTTTTGGAGGCAGAGGCAGAGGATTGCCTGGCTGAGGTATGACTGAGGTGGAAGGATCGCCTGAGCCCAGGAGGTCGAGACTGTGGTGGTTGCGAGTGTGCCACTGCACTCCAACTTGGGTAACAGTAAGACTCCCACTCAAAAAAATTTCCTCACCTGTAAAATGTAGATAATACTTTAAAAAAAAAAAAAGGAAAGAAAACAAAGTTTATTAGAGAAAGAAGAGAAGAAAAAAGAAAGAATCATGTCAGAAAAACTTAGCCATGGATGAGTTTCTCAGAAAAGAAAAACTGCTGATAATACTTACTTTACATGATTTATTTCAGCTTCATTGGAGTATACTTGACAATTAAAAATTGTATGTATTTACTGCATACAACTTGATTTTTTTGTGTGTGTTTAGATTAGAAAATATAGTTTATTTAAAAGTAAATGAGGTCAGGCTCAGCCTCTAATCCCAGCAGTTTGGGAGGCCGAGGTGAGTGAATTGCCTCAGCCCTCAGGTTTGAGATCAGCCCAGGCAACTTGGCGAGACCGCATCTCTACAATAAATAAAAAATTAGCCAGGTGTGGTAGTGCATACCTGTAGTTCCGGCTACTTGGAAAGCTGAGGTGGAAGGATCGCTGGAGCCCAGCAAGTCGATGCTGGGGTGGCCATAAGCGTGCCACTACTCTCCAGCCTAGGCGACAGAGTGAGACTCCAACTCAAAAAAAAAACCCAAGAAAAGTAAAAGAGAGAAAAAGAGAAGATTCATCTCCCCAAGGTGGGGGAGGGAACCAAAGCCGGGAAGCCTAGTGACACCAGAGTCTAGCAAGGCAATGGCCAACTTGATGTTTTGATATACATTATGAAATGGTCATTACAATCAAGCTAGTTAACATTCACCGCCTCACATAGTTACCCCACTTTTTTTGTGGTGGGAATATTTAAGATCTACGTCTTAGCAAAGTAGTCATCTTGCTGTACATTAGATTACCTTAATTTGTAATAGAATTCTTAGTTGTCATTGATTAAGATCCAGTAAAACCATCTTACACAACACATATTTGTAAGCTTATATGGGTTGCTGGAGGGAACAGAATTGAAGGAAAAGCTGCAGCTACCAGGGCATCTCCAGGGACCAAAAGAACTGGGGACCTTTATTCTTTCCATTGCACACAGACTTTCTTCATGAGGTTTTTCTCTTTCTTACAGGTTTTCTTCTCTTAAGTAGAAAATCCCAGGAAAAGGCGGACTTGCTTGGATTGCATGCCCATTAGTGGACTAGTTGGTTTTGTCTGGTATGGGAAGCTCTGATGTGCTGGCTGTGTGCCACTTGCATGTCCTTATGGCAGACAGAATAATGTGATTGGTGTTGGAAAGAAGTGATGCCTCAAAGGAGGGAAAATGCTGGGTAAACAGTGGCTCTTCCACATGAAGAGACTCTTTTATTTAAGCTATTCTGTATAGGTAGATTGTTTTAACTATTTGTTAGGTCAGTGAGCCGATACTGTGGGAATGGCAAAGAATTGCCTGGAAATTAGATTAAGAACATTTATTTAGAAAGGGGATCAGAAAGAGAGAGAGAGAGGATCTACCTCTCCAAGACTGGAGAGGGGACCAGAGGCTTAAAGAAAGTGTGTCCTCGAATGCTTGAGACTAGGAGTTTTTAAAACTTCTTTTAGGAGAGGGATGGGGGCAGGCAAGCATTCACAGGAGCTGACCTCATGGTGATGGTGTCTGTTTCTCGCCTCTCTGACGACTGGATGGATGGTCGTCAGCCATATAGATGAGAATGGCAGGGCCAGTAGCTGAAAGACAAATTCTTAGGACAAAGATGTTAATCTTAACGTCTTATGACTCTGCCAGGGCTCTGGGAAAGGATTATTGTTGTGTATGAGCTCAAGGAAACCAGAGAAACTTCATTTTGGGCTCTGTCCTTTCAGTATTCATAGAAAACAGTTACTGTTACCAGTAATCAATACTACTGTGGATGGAGTTATAGCACTTTGTGACTTTTTGCATTTTAGCTGCTCAGGGTGATTAAATTCTCACATTTCACTGATAAGTCTTGACAGTTATTATCAAGATTTCACTTGTAACTGTACATCAGTATTAGTAGTGGTGAATCAAGAAACTACTAAACATTTCTGTGATACCATTTCTGGTCTCATGCCCTTTGCGTGACTTATGGTCACACAGAGAGATGATCACGTCACCTTCTTTTCATATTTGGTTAGGCCATAGATTTATCATTTCTGCTGGATCCTGTTAACACTAGTAGGATATACTGCAAATTTAAAAGAATGGAGTCACAGACTTCAGCTGTGTTGGCTGTATTGACATAGAGCACATATCCTCATCAGTTAGAGATAAGAGTATTTATGATATTGGGCTGCGTATAAGAATCGACATGGAATAGCTTATATAGATTACCTAGTATGGTGCCTGGCGCAGTAAAATTGTAGCTGATGTGATCATTTTGATATATTAAAATTAAAAAAAAAAATTCTGACATCTGGGTAAAATTCTGGTCTTTGGCCCCCAGTCAGGACCTGCTAAACCAGAATGCCTGGCAGTAGGAATCTGTATTTTAGATATGTGTTCCAAGTCGTTATTATAAAACCAAAGATTGAGAACCACTGATTTAGCTGGGAATGGTTTGGTCACTATTTTCACTTTACTGTTTTTAATGAATAAGTTTTTTCCCTCTTTTCTTTTCTTTCTTTCTTTTTTTTTTTTTGAGTTGGAGTCTCAGTCTGTCACCCAGGCTGGAGTGCAGTGGCAGGCTCCCAGCCACCGCACCCTCGACCTTCTGGGCTCAGGCAATCCTTCCGCCTCAGCCTTCCAAGTAGCTGGAACTACAGGCATGCGCCACCACACCTGGCTAATTTTTTGATTTATTGTAGAGATGAGGTCTCATCAAGTTTCCCAGGCTGGTCTCGAACCCTTGGGCTCAGGCAGTCCTCTCACCTTGGCCTCCCAAAGTGCTGGGATTATAGGCGTGAGCCAATGCGCCCGGCCTTCCCTCTTTTCTATATAGGCTCATGCCTATATATATATATTTGTAGAAGAAATGAGTTGGGGCAATGAATAGAGACAAAAGTTGAGTTACTTACTAAAGCCACCATAATCTGCCTTGTTATCGTAGAAACATCTTACATAAAACAGGATACTCTACCTTTTATTTTAGTTCATTGAATATCATTGTGGTATCTACTTCACATATTTGTAAAGTGCTATCTTGGTCTGTTTGGCTGTTACCCATAGACTGGGTAGCTTATAAACAACAAACATTTATTTCTCATAATTCTGGAGGCTGGAAATTCAAGCCAAGGCACCAGCAGATTTGGTGTCTGATGAGGGCTCATTTCCTGGTTCATAGATGGCACCATTCTCACTGTGTTCTCACATGGTGAAAGTGGCAAGGCAACCCTCTGGAGCCTCTTTTATAGAGGCATTAATATTCCCGAGGGCTCTGTGCTCGTGGCTTATAGCCTACCAAAGGCTCCACCTCCTGGTAATTAGGTTTCAACATGTGGATTTGAGGGGTGGGGACACAAACATTCAGACCACAGCAAGTGCTTAGCACAAACGTAGTATTGTTTAGTAAATGCTGGTAATTAATTAATTAAAATAATACAATTTTGTGCTTCTGAGGGGGAAATTGGTTTGACTAATGAAAAAATGATGTGTATTTTTTATTTAAAATTTTTATTTTAAAACATTAAGGTTTTTATCTATGTGTGATACCTGTTGTAACTACTTACCCCCACATATTAACTTAAATTTTGTTCATATTATGTATACCATATGAAGTTTAAAGTTTTTATGTTTTCAGATTGGCTGCTTTTTATTTTATCATTTTTTGTCTTTATCATGCATACAAAAGCTTTCTACCAGAGGTTTACCACCCCCCCCCGTTGTTTTACATTTAAATCTTTAATGTGTGAATACTGTGTGATGCTCTTTTCTTTTTTTTAATGGATAATTTTTTCAGTGCATTTGTGTATAAGCAGTCCTTATCCTACTTACTGAGTATTCTTGAAATTAGAGGTTTAAGAAAAAGGAGTGAAGATATGACTTAGAGCTAGAAATTAAATTGTCTGGAGACAGTTTAGCTGAAAATGAGTGACCCAGGCAATAATCTTAAATAATGGTGATTTGCAGTGTCATGAAAGTGTTCTCCTTTAACATGTCCATAAGTGTCTTTGTTTCTCTTACACAGTCACAGTGCAGGGATCTATGCCTTGAAGTTGTTTTACTGCCTTGCAGCACTTCGTTTATTCTGCCACATTCTTTTTTTTTTCAGGATTAGCCTAAAATTATCCACATTTTTGCAAAACATGCCATTCATGTAAAGTGACAGTGCCTATCCTAGACCTGTTGGAATGCATCTACAGGGTTTGACAGTGTAAATCACAGAAACAAGCCCTGGCTATCTTGAGCCAAAACAGGCTGCCGGTAGAAGAAAGAGCTGTACAACCAGCCTGGGCCACCGTGGCCCAAGAACCTTTACAGGGTCTCCTTCTATCACCCAGGCTCAAATATAGTGGCACTATCGTGGCACACTGCAGCCTCTGACTCCTGGGCTCAAGTGATCCTCCCATCTCAGCCTACCAGGTCACTGGGATTACAGACCATGTCTAGCCCCAAGAAACTTAAGAGCAGGAATGTATCAACAATCGTGGACAATCTCCTCAGGCCTCACCACTGGGGACATCTTGGCTCCACTTTCTGTCTTCTCAAGTCTTTATTTATTTTTTATTTTTATTTTATTTTTTTGAGTTGGAGTCTCACTGTCGCCCAGACCTCAGCCTCGACCTGCTGGGTTCCGGCGATCCTTCCGCCTCAGCCTTCCGAGTAGCCGGAACTACAGGCGCGTGCTACCACGCCCAGCTAATTTTTTTATTTATTGTAGAGATGAGGTCTCGCCTGCCCAGGCGGGTCTCAAACCCACGGGCTCAGGCAATCCACTCACCTCAGCTTCCCAAAGGTGTGGGATTACAGGCTTCTTCTCAAGTCTTTAATCAAGACTCAGTTTCTCAGGAGAGTCTGATAAGCCTCCCTTAGGTTACATGACCATTCCCTTTGGAGTAAGGCCCAGGAGGGAAGCTTCTGACTAGCACTGAGGGCATGTGAAATGGAGGAATAGCAGGTCCCCAAAGTAAAAGTGAGTTGCCATGTTCAGGAAAGGATGATGGATAGACACCGATACTGTAATATCCAAAGACATTTACAAGCCTTTCATTCTAGATGCTTTCAATCAAGGAAACTCCTATAAAATGTTGAACATGGTGATAAAATGTATAGACTTTCAGCCATGGAATGGGTGGCCTGGGTGATCTCTCCATTTTGCACATGAGACCTAGAAATGATGAACTGCAAAAGACCAAACAGATAGTCAGGAGTGGAGTTGGGGCTCATTGAAGTCCAGGCCTTTGCTGTTTCTCCTGCTCTCTTCGTCTCTTCAGCTCAGATACCAGCAAGGACTAGTTCTTCAAGTGCAAGTCACAAAAACCCAGTTAAATTAGAGACAGCAAAAAAGGAGAATTTGTAGCTCATACAACTGGAACATCCACGAGCAGCTCCAATTTCAGGCTGCATTTGGCCTCAGGGGCTCCGATGAAGCTTTGAGGGCTCAATTTCTCTTTTCCTTTCATTCCTGTTTCCCCTGGGATGGCTTCGGTCTCCAACAGGCTCTTCTATGGTGGTGTCAAGATGATAGCAGCAGGTTCAACCTCACATTCTTTTCCTTAGGATGTGGATTCTAGAGGACTTGGTGCTAGGTTTAGATGAGAGAGTTGTAAAACAAATGTATCACGGCAAGACAGACTTAGGAAAGACTGCATGTAAGCTTTCCCAGCTGTAGAGACCTTTGATTCATGGAGACCTGTCCTGCAAGTTGGCTCACATCTTACTGACCAGGACTCTTGCAAGTATAGGGAAAAGCAGCTCTTCAGCTGGGCATATGGCCACTTCAGCGGATCCAGAAGTCTGTTCCTGGGACCTCGCAACCCACGTTCTTCCTGAGTACATCTCTCATCCACTGAGCACAGCCACATGATACTCCTCAAAAGCAGCACAGTCCAGCTGCTTCCTGGCAGGACGGAAACACCTCTCACAGGCCCTTCTGTACGCAATGGCCTCCTCTCTGTCTCCTGGGGGTTAGGGCCGATTTCACAGCTCGCTCATTTAGTTGGCGGTGCCTAGTTAGACCTCTGCCTTGGTTCCAGACTCCACGACAATACATGGGAAACTCATTCTGCAGGTCACAGGCAAGTCCCCCAGGGATATCCTCAGCCTCTGGATAGCGGGAGCCCATCGGGGGCGCGGGTCAGAGAGCTGCAGGAGAAGGGGGTGCTGGCTGGTGGGAACCAGGAAGCGCAGTCATCCGCCTCCAAGAGGCCGCGCGTCCCAAAAGGCCCAGGCGCCCTGGCTTCGAGCGGCGGCGAAGACAGGGCGGACAGCGCGGGAAAATGTGGGATGTCTGGAGATTTCGTGAGTTGGCGTACAACTGCACGCGATGGCACGCGACCCTTTTTTTTTTTGAGTTGGAGTCTCACTCTGTCGCCCAGACTGGAGTGCAGTGGCCGCTCCCGGTCACCGCAGCCGCGACTGCTGGGCTCCAGCGATCCTTCCGCCTCAGCCTTCCAAGTAGCTGGAACTACAGGTGCGCACTACCACATCCTGGCTGATTTTTGATTTATTGTAGAGATGAGGTCTCGCCAAGCTGACATTCTTAAGCTGGGTATGCCTAAATGTATCTCTTACTTTGTAAGTTGTACATGATTTTCACTGAAACCTCATGACTATCGTGGACATTTGGAAATGAAAGTACCTTTTTCAGTTTAATTTAAAAATATAAAAGATCTACTAAAGGCCTCACCTCCTAATATCATCAGTCACTGGATTTAAGTAAACTTCAAGTTTGAGAACTGTTATTGTTAATTCCTTTGTTTAATCTAGAGCATGAAATGTCTCCATTTTAAAAACATTTTTCAGGTACTGAAATTTTGGGGAATGCTTATTTTTTATCAGTTTGCTCTTTAAAAAAAGCTTTCCATATTGAAATAAATATTGATTCACATAAAGTTGCAGAGGCACCCAAGGTGTCCTTCATTCAGTTTTCCCCAGTAGTAACATCTTATCTGACCATAAGTAATATCATTATATCTAGAATATATATGTATCAATATAGTGCTTTATTTTAACCCCAGAAATTGATACTGTACAATCCACAGACCTTATTCAGATATCATCAGCTAGCTAGCTAGCTTGGTTTCTTTCTTTTTCTCTTTCTTTCTTTCTTTCTTTCTTTCTTTCTTTCTTTCTTTCTTTCTTTCTTTCTTTCTTTCTCTTTCTTTCCCTTCCTTTTTTTCTCTCTCTCTCACTGTTACCTAGACTGGAGTGCAGTGAAACTATCATGGCTCACTGCAGTCTCCACCTTTTGGGCTCAGGTGATCCTTCCACCTCAGTCTCCTGAGTAACTGGGACTACAGGCAGGCGCCACCACAGCTGGCTAATTTTCAAAATTTTTTTGTGGAGATGAGGTCTTGTTATGTTGCCCAGGCTGGTCTTGAACTCCTGTACTCAAGAGATCCTCTCACCTTGGCCTTCCAAAGTGTTGAGATTACAGGTGTGAGCCACTGTGCCCTGTCACAGATTTATGTGCACGTGTGTGTGTGTGTGTGTGTGTGTGTGTGTGTGTGTAGTTTCATGAAGTTTTATCACATATATAAATGAATGTAACCACCCCCCAAAACAGTATTCATCACCACAATGATCCCTTGTGTTACCCCTTGGTGTAAACAAGTTACCTAGAGTATTAAAGCCTAATGAAATTTGAGGGGAAATCATAGTAACATTTTATTTCCATTTGACCCACAGTGAAAAAATGTGCACTTGTGGACTTCAATATTTACTGAAGATGTATTCCCCTTAACTCAGCTTACTGGTTTCAACCCATTAGAATTATTTAGTAGAGTTACCTCTTTGAATGTTGAACATCTAGTATCCAACTTTCAACTGTTTTAAGTGACTAATAACCAGAACCTGGATAACTACCTTTACTTTTTCAGTATTTTTAAACTTCAGTTTATCTTTTTGACCTGAAAGTACAAGTGCTGTTTTCAGATTAGTTGTTTGTCCTAATTTATTTCATTGTTTTTAATCAATTACTGGTATGTAATGAGTTCTCAGTGTAAATATCTACTCTTTTTTTTCTTTTTTTTTTTTTAAGTTGGGGGTTTCTGTCACCCAGACTGAAGTGCAGTGGCATGATCATTGCTCACTGCAGCCTCCAACTCCTGGGTTTAGGTGGTCCTTTTGCCTCAGCCTCCTGAGTAGCTAGGACTACAGGTGCATGCCACCATGCCCAGCTAATCGTTTTGATTTTTTTTGTAGCAATGAGGTCTTGCTGTGTTGCCCCAGCTTGTCTCAGACTTCTGGGCTCAAGCGATTCTCCCTCCTCAACCTCCTAAAGTACTGGGATTATAGGCATGAGCCACCACACCCAATCAGGTATTAAGAAATTTTAAATGAATTATTCTGCTTTTTGCCAGCTGTACCCTAGTGTTTTCTGAAATTTTTTAAAAAATTTAATTAAAAAAATTTTTTTAGAAAGCAGGATTTATTTATTTATTCATTTATTTTATTTTATTTTATTTTTGAGTTGGATTCTCACTCTGTCACCCAGACTGGAGTGCAGTGGCCGCTCCCGGCCACCGCAGCCTCAACCTGCTGGGCTCCGGTGATCCTTCCGTCTCAGCCTTCCAAGTAGCTGGAGCTACAGGCATGCACTACCACGCCCAGCTAATTTTTGATTTATTGTAGAGATGAGGTCTCGCCGAGTTGCCTAGGTGGGTCTTGAACCCGCGGTCTCAGGCAATCCACTCACCTCAGCCTCCCAAAGTGCTGGGATTACAGGTTGAGCCACCAAGCCCGGCCAATATGTTTTCAATTATCTTGTGTATACCTAGGAAGCTATTCAGTGAGTCATGGTTTCACAATTCTTTGACTATACTAAAAACTATTAGATTATGCACTTTAAAAGGGAATTATGACTTGTATTATTCTGTTTTGCATTGTAACAACCTCAAACATCTTAGCAGTTCGTACCAACAAATATTTATTTCTTGTACTTGTCTATGGCTATAACTTTGCTTTGTGTATTTTTTCATCCTAGGACCAAGGTTGAAGGAGCAGTCTGTATGTTGGATATGCCCAGTCTCATCGTAGGGGAAAAGTGATAGACTAGATTGAATTTTATAATCCCATTAGAAGCTTCTACTTGGATGCTGTAATTGCTTGTCCATATTACATTGGTGAAACAAGTCACTTGAATAAGGTCATAGTTAGTAAGTGAGACAGGAGTATCTCCCGTCAGAGGCAGGCAAGGCACATAGTAATGAGCAAGGTTGTATAATTATTTTATAGTTAAGGGTGGAGGTGAATAATTGTGAACAGGAATATGGTCTGTTCTACAAACAGAGATTGCTGATTGAGGAAAAACAAAGATTAATGATGCAAGTTGTCGTTTAAGGACCCCTGAGAAGAAAATGAGTAATAGAGGGCAGATGGAATACATATGGAGTTGGTAGTAGGCACGAGGGGTTAGTTAGGAGAGGACAATGATTTTATAGTTCTACTAATAAGCATAGTCATGTCAGTAACTGTTCTTCAGTATTCATCTAAAAAGATGAATGAATGGCTAAAAAGTATGGTAGAGGAATGAGAAGCTGTGGATATAGGATCCAGGATGGACCCTATGGTGTGGTCTGAGTAGACTGGGAAATGAGTAGAGGAGGAGTTATACTTGAGAAACATGTGATTGTAAGTCTGAGTAATTGAGGTATAGGCATTTAGGATTGCTGTTTCAGGTTATGACAAGGTCCAGGATTTACCATTTTTAACTGAAGGGAAAAGGAGATAAAAGTTACTGGAGTTGAAGAATTGTGTAACCTGGGTATTGGGTAGGTCTCCCAGATTGCAGTATCCAAGATGACAGTCTGTCATTTCCCATTAGACAATGTGATCCATGTCTGTTACTCACTATTGTGTTTCCAGTGTTTGGCTTGTATAGGTGGTCATTCAGTTGATAATTTATTGATAGAGGGAAGTGGTATTTGATATTGAGAGAGGACTGTGAACTGAATGCTAGTTTTCTGTGATTGGAGGAGAAACCAGTAAGTTGGTAGATCAGAGTAATGCAGCATGTGGCTCCAGTTGGTGCTGGCTTTTGACTAGGGGCTCAGCTGAGACTGTTGACCTGCATCCTCTCAAATGGCTTCAGATGACAAAATCAGTTTTTAAAATTATTCCGATAAGTCTGGATACTGTGGCTCATGCCTGTAATCCCAGCACTTTGGGAGGCCGAGGCAGGAGGATTGCTTGAGCCCAGAAGTTTGAGACCAGCCTGGGCAACATAGTGAGATCTCATCTTTACAAAAAAATAAAAAGATTTAGCCAGGCGTGGTGGCACATGTCTGTAGTCTCAGCTACTTGGGAGCCTGAGGATGAAGAATGACCTGAGCCCAGGAAGTGGGAGCTATGGTGAGCTGTGATCATGCCACTGCACTCCAGCCTGGGTGACAGAGTGACACCCGGCTCAAAAAAAAAAAACCAAACCTCAAAATAGTCATTGAGCCTAGCTAGGTTCTGGATAAAGGGGGTTAGTTCCTACTTAATAAAGTACGAGAGAATTTGTGATATCCTTAATCCATTGTATTTGATACCTAGCTTGCCATTAGCAGAAGTGCAGAGCTCTTGGTATGGCTCAAAGCTTCACGAGATTTAAACTTATTGATAAGTTGTCCAATATGTTGGTCTTATTGAATTTAACTCTTAAGACTATGGCTTCTCCATCTTGCATCAACTTTTTAAAAAACATTGCCCTAAAATACAGTTTAGAAAAAAAAGTGTGGTTTTTTTTGTTGTTGTTGTTTTTGAGTTGGAGTCTCACTCTGTTGCCCAGGCTGGGATGCAGTGGCACGCTCACAGCCACTGCAGCCTCCACCTCCTGGGCTCAGGTGATCCTTCCGCCTCAGCCTTCCAAGTAGCTGGGACTTCAGGCACACGCCACCACACTCGGCTACTTTTTTGATTTATTGTAGAAATGAGGTCTTGCCAAGTTGCCAGTACTTTGCAAGTTGCCAGCTCAAGACTGGTCTTGAACCTGTGGGCTCAGGTAGTCCTCTCACCTCTGCCTCCCAAAGTACTGGGATTATAAGCCTGTGCCACCGTGACTGGCTGGGAAAAAAAGTTTTTAAAGACTGAAATAAAACATCTAAAACCACAGCTTCTGGAACAACCACTTGTTCTTGTGTATCTTGAATCTCTTCAAACTTGGCCTTAGCTTTTCATTGTGCTTTGTGTTTAAGAGCAGGGTCTCTGAAAAACATCCTTGTTGACAGAAGTTTTGTCCAAGGGGATACCACAGAGTACCTTGTGGGCATGAGGTGATTGTAGTATAAACTTGCACAAAATACTTGATCTTTGACCTCTTGGTATTTCTTGCCCATGACAGCTGCACTGCAAGGAGAGCGGTCAGTTCTAACCACTTTAGAGCATAGCTGTAGGCTTGGTCTGGGGTGCCATCATCAATGCTTTTGCGTGGTGATATCTCTGAGTCTGGAGTAGCATCTGGCCAGAACCAGCAAGCACCACTTTCCTAGGTTTCATAAACTTGCCTATTTTGACAGCATCTGCCTGAAATGTAGTTTTAATTGTAATATTGTGGAGGGTCTCTTTAGTTTAGAGGCTCCTTGGTGGAGAGAGTTTGAAGTGTGCTTTCCAACTCACATGGGTGTTAGTTATGAAGCTCAAGTAATTTTGGCAGCTTCTGTGTGTTGGAAACATACTTACTAATTTTTCTTTATTCTTTTTTGAGTTGGAGTCTCACTGGAACTACAGGCACACACTATAATGCCTGGCTAATTTTAAAAAATTTATTGTAGTGATGAGGTCTGGCCAAGTTGGCCAGGCTGGTCTCGAACCTGTGGACTCAGGCAATCCACTAGCCTCCTATAGTGCTGAGATTACTGACTGAGCCACTGAACCCGGCCTTGAAATTTTCTAGTAAAATTTTTTTTTTTTTTTTGAGTTGGAGTCTCACTCTGTCGCCCAGACTGGAGTGCAGTGGCTGCTCCTGGCCACCGCAGCCTCGCCTGCTGGGCTCTGGCGATCCTTTCGCCTCAGCCTTCCAAGTAGCTGGAATTACAGGCATGCGCTACCACGCCCAGCTGATTTTTTGTTTTATTGTAGAGATGAGGTCTCGCTGCCCAGGCGGGTCTCGAACCCGCGGGCTCAGGCAGTTCACTCACCTCAGCCTCCTTAAAATATGAGTATTAAAGATATCAAAATGCTAATTTAACAGTGGTGGGTAATTTGCTTCTTAGGCTTTTTAAAATATTCTAAATTGTACTTAATGAACATGTATCAACTCATGTATTTGTAAAAACACTAATATAAAAAATTTAATCCTTGTAATTTGTTGTAGTAAATAAATAGAATTATCACAAGAGAAGTTATATCAATACTTTGATGAAAATGTCTAGGTTGACTCTTGATTTCCCTTTGTACACAGTGTTTCTCATTCAGGTTTGATCCTGCATTTGTATTTTTAATAAGCGATTTTAGGACTAGGCAGGTTTCAAAAACAGGCTGATTTGTTTTGTAACGAAAAGTGCAAGTTGAGGCAGCAAATGGTATTGAAAAGATACATAATTTTAAGTAATAATTTTGTAGAAAAATTAAATTTTTCTTTGAGATTTCCATTTTCCACTATTGTAGAGTTTGACGGGACAGAGGCAATAACCAGATTAGTTATTTTCTTCTTGGAACAAAGGTACACATTAGATATTAATTGTAAATAGAAATTGTGAATTTGTTGAAATAAAGCTGTGATGACTATATCTGAAAGATGGAGATAATATTTATCTTAATAGGTTTTGTTTTTTGTTTGAGTTGAAGTCTCACTCCGTCGCCCAGGCTGCAGTGCAGGGGCACGCTCACAGCCACCTCAGCGTCGACTTGCTGGGCTCAGGCTATCCTTCTGCCTCTGCCTACCAAGTAACTGGATCTACAGGCACGTGCTACCTCGCCCTGCTGTTTTTTTTATTTGTTGCATAGATATGGTCTCACCAAGTTGCCCAGGCTGTTCTCGAACCTGTGAACTCAGGCAGTCCCCTCACCTCAGCCTCCCAAAGTGCGGGAATTACAGGCTTGAGCCACCGCGCTAATTAAGTCATAAGTTTTACTGATGCATACACATTATCTTTTCTCCTTCTGATTTATGAACCTTTGAAATGAAGGTAGATAACCTGCTTTGGGAGGCCGATGTGAGTGGATTGCCTGAGCCTGCGGGTTTGAGACCCGCCTGGGCAACTTGGTGAGACCTCATCTCTACCATAAATCAAAAATTAGCTGGACATAGTAGTGCATGCCTGTAATTCCAGTTACTCGGAAGGCTAAGGCAGAAGGCTCCCCGGAGCCCAGTGGGTCGAGGCTGCGGTGGCTGGAAGCGTGCCACTGCACTCCAGTCTGGGCGATGGAGTGAGACTCCAACTCAAAAAAAAGAAGATAGATTACCTTTTTAGCTATGTCAGAAAGTGATGTCCCTTTAGAGGAAAACCAAGTCACAATGTAACTTTTTTCTGTTGATTTTTTTTTTTTTTTTGAGTCGGGGTCTCATTCTGTTGCCCAGGCTGAAGTGCAGTGGCATGATCATGGCTTACTGTAGCTTCGACCTCCTCGGCTCATACGATCCTCCCAACTCAGCCTTTCAAGTAAATGAGACTACAGGCGTGTACCACCATATACAGCTAATTTTTATTTTTTATTTTGTAGAGACAAGGTCTTGCTATATTGTCCTTGAACTCCTGGGCTCAAGGGATCCTCCCGCTTTGGCCTTCTGGGATTACAGGTTTAAACCACTGTGCCCAACCTGTGTTGATTTTATACTTCCAACTTTGCTATTCTTTATGCAGTAGTATACCGAATTACTTTCATAGCATTTTAGAAGCTCTCAGTGCCAGACCTTGTTCGCAGAGATTCTGATTTAATAGAATATGATGTGAGCCCTTTTGGGTGAGTTCATTAAGCAGCCAAGGCTGAGAAACCCTGCCTTAAACTGTTGACTTTTGTGAGAGATGTGATCATAGATTTTTGCAAATGGGACATTTCATAGACTTTTTGAGATATAAGAACAGTAACTTATAACTGAACTCATAGTGAGAGAAAACAAAACTCCATAGTGAGGAGATAATGAAGTAGCCTGGTTTAGTGATTCACCCTGACTTCATACATAGTTTAGTACTTAGGCCCCCACTGTAGTGAATTTTAGACTATTGCTTTGAAAAGAAATAATGGCAAAAACATACCTTTTTGTAACATGAGACTTTTTTTTTTTTTCCTTTTTAGCTCCAACCTGTGATCTAAGAAAAAGGACCATACTTGATTCTCCATTTTAACTTGTGTAGTGTAAAACTGAGATAATGTAGATAATGAAACTGGGTCATGACTATTTGCATTGTTCTTTTTTTTTTTTGAGTTGGAGTCATACTGTCGCCCAGACTGGAGTGCACTGGCACGCTTCCGGCCACCGCAGCCTCGACCTGCTGGACTCCGGCAATCCTTCCGCCTCAGCCTTCCAAGTAGCTGGAACTACAGGCGTGCACTACCAAGCCTGGCTAATTTTTTGATTTAGTGTAGACATGAGGTCTCACCGGATTGCCCAGGCGGGTCTCGAACCTGTGGGCTCAGGCAATCCACTCACCTTAGCCTCCCAAAGCACGGGATTACAGGCTGAGCCACTGAGCCCGGCTTTTGCATGGTTCTTAAACATTTTTTGAGGTGTACATATTTCTGGGGGCACATGTGATGTTTTGATACACACATATATATTGTGTGTAGTGATTAAATCAGGGTAATTGGAATATTAATCATCTCAAACGTTAATAATTTCTTTGTGTTGGGAATGTTGCACTTTTTAAATAGCTATTTCAAAGTATACATTATTATTATTATTATTATTACTACTATATTTTGTTGTTACTGAGTGAGCGTTCACTTTGTTGGTTAGGCTGGAGCGCAGTGACACGCTCACAGTTCACTGCAGCCGCCACCTCCTGGGCTCAGGTGATCCTTCCATCTCATCTTTCTGAGTAGCTGGGACTGCAGGCATGCACCTCCTTGCCCAGCAAATTTTTTTTTTCTTTTTTGAGTTGCAGTCCCACTCTGTTGCCCAGTTTGGAGTGCAGTGGTACACTCATGGCCACTGCTGCCCCGACCTGCTGGGCTCAGGCAATCCTTTTGCCTCAGCCTTCCAAGTAGCTGGAACTACAGGTTCACACTACCACACCCGGCAAATTTTTTTATTTTTATTGTAGAAACAAGGTATTACCAAGTTGCCCAGGCTAGTGCTGAACCCCTGAGCTCAGACAGTCATCTTGCCTCTGCCTCCCAAAGTGTTGGAATTACAGGCATGAGCCACTGTTGTTTTTTGTTTGTTTGTTTGTTTGTTTGTTTTGTTTTGTTTTGTAGTGATGAGGTTTCACTATGTTGTCTACACTGGTCTTGAACTCCTGGTCTCACACGGTCCTCCCGCCTCAGCCTCCCACAGTGCTGGGATTGCAGGCGTGAGTCACCACACTTGGCCATAAGTTAACTATATAGTTACTCTATTGTGCTATTGAACACTACAATTTATTCATTCTACTAACTGTATTTTTTTACCCATTAACTTACCTCTTCATTCCCCCTCCCCTTTACCATCCGGGTCTCTGGTAACCACCATTCTACTCTCTATTTCCTTGAGTTCAACTTTCTTAGCTCCCAAATGTCATAAGTGAGAACTGGTGATATTTGTCTTGCTGTGCCTGGCATATCACTTAACTTAATGTCCTCCAGTTCTATCCTTGTTGCTGTAAATAGCATGATTTCATTTTTTATGACAGAATATTATTCTGTCATAAAAAATGAAAATATATACCACATTTTCTCTTTTTTTTAATATGGAACACTTCACAAATTTGCATATCATCTTTGCACAGGGGCCATACTAATCTTCTCTGTATCATATATGTGCTGCCAAAGCAAGCACCACCTTTCTTTTTTTTTTTTTTTGAGTAGGAGTCTCACTCTGTCGCCAGGCTAGGAAGTGCAGGGGACCGCTCCCGGCCACCGCAGCCTCGACCTGCTGGGCTCCAGCGATCCTTCCGCCTCAGCCTTCCAAGTAGCTGGAATTACAGGCATGCGCTACCACGCCCGGCTGATTTTTTGATTTATTGTAGAGATGAGGTCTCGCTGCCCAGGCGGGTCTCGAACCCGCGGGCTCAGGCAATCCACTCACCTCAGCCTCCCAAAGGCGCGGGATTACAGGCTGAGCCACCGGGCCCGGCTGCACCACCTTTCTTTATCTATTCATCTGTAGTTAGACACTTACATTGATTCCATGTCGTGGCTATTGTGAGTAGTCTTGCAATAATTATGGGAATGCACATGGATAGATAGCTTATTGGTATACTAATTTCCTTTTGGTGGGGGGGGGGGGTATAATATATCCAGCAGTGGGATTGCTGCATCTTGTTATAGTGCTATTTTTAGTTTTTTGAGGAATCTCCAAACTGTTCTCTGTAGTGACTATTAATTTACGTTTCCACCACCAACATTCCCTTTGCCATTTATCTTTGTCAGCATGTTATTTTTTGTCTTTTTGATAATTGCCATTTTAACTGGGGTGAGATGTTCTCTCATTGTGATTTTAATTTGCATTTCCTTGATAGTTAGTGATTTTTGAGTGTTTTTCATATTTTTATGGGCCATTATGGTTTCTTATTTTTTAGTGTAAAACACCATACAAGTAGTTTGGGTTGACAGTTAATTTAAAAGCATTTAAAATCTTTTTTCTTTCTGCCAGCATTCATGGCAGTTTTATTTTGTTTCAGGATAAGCAAATATTTTGGTTGGCTGAAAAGGATTTGTTCTAGGGTAATATGTATAGTCCTTATAAATTTTAGAAGACATACTTTGTCTGTGTCATCTGAGGAAGGAATTTTAATATGTCAGGAGAGTTCCTGATGAGAAAATTGTTTCCCAGTCTGTAGTATAGACTATGTAGAGCTTTTAAAGTTCTGTTTAAAATAATGGTGCTCTAAGTAAGGGAGAAATAAATTTTTGAAAAAAATCTTCAAGTTACTATAGCAACTTGAATTTGCAATTTTGTTGCTCTAAAATAGAACAGAAAGTTACTGTGTTTCTAAGTAAATTCCTTGTTAGTTCCAAACTGCTATACTCACATAGGACTTATTTCTGTCTTACTGTTAGGTGTAACGATTTCTCTCTGAGTTACTGGAATCCCTATTGGATGCTGCCCTCTGATGTTTGTGGAATGAACTGCTTTTGGGAAGCGGCTTTTAGGTAGGCACTTAATATTTAATTGGTAGATCAGTGTAGGTAAGATTAGTTAGTAGGTAACAAAACCTTTGACTGTAATAGGATGTGAATATTTCTTATAAGTGAGTATTATATAAATACATAATTTTCTGATTGGGTTTTCTATTTTTCCCATTTTGTAGTTGTTATCACTCATTTTTAGTATACTGCATTAAATGTTCTAAATTTTTTTGAGATATTAAGGTAAACCATTCTTAGAATTTATGATCTAACTTTAGGTGACAGGTGATAAAGTGACAAGTGGTAAAAATAGGCTTCCACTGACATTTATAGGTGTGTGTGTGTGTGTTTGTGTATGGCATTTATTTAATTTAAAGCTGGTGTACTGGAAAACATTTTGTAGGTATATGGGGGCAACTGGGGAAGGATTATATTAGTTATTAGTAGGGAATGAATATTGGGGAATGGAAGGATAATGAAAAATATTTTGTGAAGGAGTAAATGTCATAGCATTGTTTATTGACCTTTTAAGTTGCTGAATAGTTTGACTTTGCTCACTACTCTGTATAACGAAGGTATTGGATTGGCTGACCTCTCAGATTTCTTCCTGCTCTAATCTTCAATGAAAGATATGAAAGAAACAAGGCATGGCATAAGGCTCTGGCTCTCAGACTATCTCCCTGAGATAGTGGCAAAGGAGAATGGTACAGTAGTCTGAAATGCCCTTCCCATAGTAAAATAGAGAGTATCTGTTTTTACTGAATCTTTATGATTGATTTGAATTTTAGTTTTACTCCTTCTATTTGCCAAACACTGTGCTAAGAACTAGACACCTGAGTCAGGTTAATGTGGCTCCATCATTCTGGAGCTTGCATTGTAATGGGATCTTCACATTAGTAATGTGAGATTATAGTAGAAGGTGACAAGCTGTAGCTATGATGTCATCTTTTTTTTTTTGAGTCAAGAGTCTCACTCTGTCGCCCAGGCTGGAGTGCAGTGGCATACTCACGACCACCCCAGTGTTGACTTGCTGGGCTCTGGCGATCCTTCCACCTCAGCCTTCCAAGTAGCCAGAACTACAGGTGTGCGTTACTATGTCTGGCTAATTTTTTGGTATATTATAGAGACGAGGTCTCACCAAGTTGTCCATGCTGGTCTCGAACCCCTGGGCTCAGGCAATCCTCTTGTCTCTCTGCCTCCCAGGGTGCTGGGACTATAGGCTTGAACCACCACACCTGGCTAATTTTTTGGTTTACTGTGGAGATGAGATCTCACCATTTTGCCCAGACTGGTCTCAAACCCATGGGCTCAGGCAGTCCTCTCACCTCTGCCTCCCAAAGTGCTGGGATTACAGGTGTGAGCCACCATGCCTAGCTGATGGTACCAGGGAGGGCTTCCTGAATGGAGTGACTAGATGATGAACAGGAAATTAGCCAGGTTTAAGGATAGGGGATAGGAGGTTAAGTGTTCTATGTAGGAAGAACTTATTTTTTTAATTTTTTAATTTTTTTTTTTAAGTTGGAGTCTCACTCCTTTACCCAGGCTGGGGTGCAGTGGCACGCACGCTCATGGCCACCCCAATATCGACCTTTTGGGCTCCAACCATTCTTCCACCTCAGCCTTTCGAGTAGCTAGAACTTCAGACGCATGCTACCATGCCCAGCTATTTTTTATTTTATTGTTGAGACAAGGTCTCACTAAGTTGCCGGGGCTGGTCTCAAACCCGTGGGCTCAGGCAATCCACTTGCCTCGGCCTCACAAAGTTCTAGGATTACAGGCTGAGCCACCAAGCCCGGCCCAGTGTAATATTTTGAATGATTATACCAAGCTCATTAATATATTCATCACCACACATTTTTATCATTTTTGGTAGTGAGAACATTTAAAATGCTCTCTTATCAGTTTTGTTGAAATATACAATGCATTATTGTGAACTGTAATCACCTTCTTGTGCAATAAATCTTGAAAACTTCCTCCATCTAACTAGAACTTTGTACCATTTGGTCAGCATCTTCCAATCCTATGCCCCACCGTCTGCACCCTCTTCCTCTGGTAACCACCATTCCACTCTCTCCTATCCCAAGTACTAACCAGGCCTGACCCAGCTTAATTTCCCAGATCAGATAGATATGATGCGTTCGGAGTAGTATGGCTGTAGACCATTCTAGTCTTATAAGAACTGCATTCCGTTTTTTTAAAAAATTTATTTTTATTTTTTGAGTCAGGATCTCACTCTATTGCCCAAGCTGGAGTATAGTGGCACAATCATAGCTCACTGCAGCCTCGACCTCTTGGGCTCTGTGATCCTAGGCTTAGGTAATCCTTCTGTCTCAGCCTCCTAAGTCACTGGTACTACAGGCACACACCACCACACCGCAGCTTATTTACTTACTTACTTGTCTATTTATTTATTTATTGTAGGAGTGGGACTTTCTATGTTGCCTAGGCTGGCCTTGAACTCCTCGGTTCAGGCAGTCACCTGCCTTGGCTCCCAAAGTGCCAGGATTACAAGCAAGTGCCACCCTGCCTGACCAAGAACTGTATTCTTAATATCTCTTAATTGTATATTTCTTGCATTCTCAATGTATTTATGCATCTCGTGAACAACTAGCAGGGAATAGTTGAAATCAGATATTTTTAGCCGGGCTCAGTGGCTCAACCTGTAATCCCGCGCCTTTGGGAGGCTGAGGTGTGTGGATTGCCTGAGCCTGCGGGTTCGAGACCCACCTGGGCAACTTGGCGAGACCTCATCACTACAATAAACCAAAAAAATTAGCCGGGTGTGGTAGCGCGCACCGGTAGTTCCGGCTACTTGGAAGGCTGAGGCAGAAAGAGAGCTCTTTCTCTCTTTTTGAGAATTTAAGAAGTAAATTGTAGTTGTAGTTTCTAAGTCTTCAATTAATTTATTATACAGGTCGAGGCTGCGGTGGCCGGGAGCGGCCACTGCCCTCCAGTCTGGGCGACAGTGAGACTCCAACTCAAAAAATAAATAAATAAATAAAAATAAAGTAAAATAAAGAAATCAGATATCTTAATTCTGTTGCTGTGGAAGAGATTGGTCGATTGAAATTTTAGTATGGTGGATTATTCTAACTTTTAAACAATTAATTATATTTACTTATTTATATATATTTTTTAAGATTAGAAAATATAGTTTATTTAGAAGGTAAATTAGAGTGAGAGAAAGAAAGAGGAGATTCATCTCCCCAAGGCAGGGAAGGGGGCCAAAGTCAGGAAACATAGCAACAGCCATAGCTCAAAGAGCATGTGCCCACACCAGAGTCTAGTAAGGCAATGGTCTATATTTACTTTTGAGTTGGGCGTTTCATTCTGTTGTCCAGGGTGTATTGTAGTGGCATGATATCACAGCTTACTACAACCTTGATCTCCTGGGCTCAGACAATCCTTTCATCTCAGCCTCTTCTTGAGTATCTCAAACTACAGGAATGTGTCACCACACCTAGCTAATTTTTAAATATTTTGTAGAGATAAGGTCTTACTGTGTTTCCCAGGCTGGTCTTGAACTCCTGAGTTCAAGCAGTCCTCTCTCCTTGGCGTCCCAAAGTGCTGGGATTACAGGCATGAGCCACAACATCTGGTATTCCAACTTTAAAAAATTAACTTGTTAAGATAATCTAACCCTTCAGTTTGTTTATAATTTTGGAGAATTGGAGCTTCGTATGTTTTTATTCTTAGGAATATCTGCTAATGAATATAGTTTTGACAAGAACCACTTTTTTGTGTGACATAATTCTACTAACTCTGGAAGCTAGGTAAACTTGAAAACTTCAGTATGCTCTGATTTACCCATTGTAAATTGTAGCATGAGTGACAGGAATCTTTCCTCCTCTTTGCAAGACAGTCCCAGGGAAGTTGACCTAGTCAGAATCCTGGAGCCTTTGCTTACCATTCCTTTTGTTTTGGCTTCTCCAACTCATTATTTTCTTAATGCTGCCAAATATTCCCTGGAAAAAATGATCTGTGGTTAGATATATAATGTTGTATGCTCTTGGTTTTTACTCTTCTGAGATTTTAGAAGTTATGCTCTTCTTTCTGTTATACTTTCTACCTGTAATATTGTATCCTTTATATCATGTGATTACATAGAAAATAGTAACCATTTTGTTGTAAGTATTATATCATTATATAACAATATCTCACACCTAGTTTCTTTCTTTTTTCTTTTTTTGAGTTGAAGTCTCACTATGTTGCCCAGGCTGAAGTGCAATGGCACACTCAGAGACACTGCAGCCTCAACCTGCTGGACTCAGGTGGTCCTTCTACCTCAACCTTCTAAGTAACTGGAACTACAGGCACGTACCACCATGCCTGGCTAATTTTTTTGATTTATTGTAGAGATGAGGTCTCGCCAAGTTGCCTAGGTTGGTCTCCATCCCGTGGGCTCAGGCAGTCCCCTCACCTCTGCCTCCCAGAGTGCTGGAATTAGAGGCGTGAGCCACTGCGCCAGGCCTTCTTTCTTAGAATTAAGGAGTTCTCACCCTTTTTCAAACAAAATGCCATACAATTGTCATACCATTCTTACCATCTCTTTCAGTAGTGATTCTAAGTAATACCTCTTTTTGCCTGATTCTAAGAGCTTACCTGCCTACCTGGTAAAACTTCTTCAGAATTTCCCTTTATAGCCACCTTTGGTGTCACATTCTGCCTGATGCCAGGGGGTCCTTAGTAGGGCATTATATTCTTCTTTCCAGGCCTGCCCCAGCCTTCCCAACTTCTTTATATAATTTTGATCAAGTCTTATCTTAGGGATTATTTCCTTTCAATTAATTTATTATACAGTGAACATAAAAGAAAAATGGCCTCAACTCCCATCACAGGTGTTTTCATCATTCTTATGCATATTACACATTCGCATAGTTGTGATTAATCTTAAATTCTAACTTTAAAATTTTAATACTGGCCAGCGGCAATGACTCAGCCTTTAATCCCAGCACTTTGGGAGGCCAAGGAGAGAGGATTGCCTGAGCCCAGGGGTTCCAGGCCAGCCTGGGCAACTTAGTGAG